AATTTAACTAAACTGTTTCAGGCCTAATTCTATTTAGGTAGGCATCAGCCTCAGCTTTAGAAAAAAAGCAAACTATGTAAACTGTAGTGCAAAAACCATAGAAGAAATCTTACGTACAAATTTTGGTGTATTTTTTATGCGTTTTTTGCAGCTATGCAATGCAAAAACACACATTAACGAGGGGTTGTCTGTGTGTCCGTGTGCCTGTGTGTTTGTGTGTGCGTCTGTCACGGACTTTCATCGCAAGACCTATAAACGCTGCAGGATTCAACTTTCGGGAACTTGATCTATATGCACGTGCCGGCTCCAACCCCCAAAATGGGCGCCATCAGCCACGTGGTACCTGCGTACGGGCACGCCAAAATTCTTTAAGTTCATAGCTCCGGGACCTGAGAAGCTAGAACGCTGAAATCTCAGGGGGATATTCCCCGTCCAAGTGGGTATTAGTGAGCTCAAACCCAGCCGCCGGGTAAGCGTGGTACCCGCTTACGGGCCCGCCAAAGTTTTTTCGGTTAAATTCGTAACACGGGGAACTGAGAAGCTAGAACGCTGAAATCTTAGGGGGATGTTCCCCGTCCAAGTAGGTGTTAATGCACTGAAACCCATCCCCCGGGTAAGCGTGGTATCCGATGTACGGGCCCGCCAGTATTTTTTTCGGATAAGTTCGTAACTCGTGGATCTAAGAAGCTAGAACGCTGAAAACTTAGGGGGATGTTTCCTGTCCAAGTCGGTATTAACGAGTTCAAGCCCTGCCCGCGGGTAAGCTTGGTATCTATACACGGGCCCGTGAAAGTTTCTTCCGGGTAAGTTGCTAACTCGAGAACGTGAGAAGTTAGAAGGCTGGGATTTTGGCGGGGATGTTCCTGACAGTCTGAAATTCTTTTAGCTAGAAGCGTATGCCGGAAAAACTAGTGCCGCTAGCGACAAAAATCTGCGGGGAGCTACGTAAAAAACGCATCTTCGCGCGGGCAGCCCGTGCGTTGGCCAATTATTATGTACTAGATATTGACGTGGCTGCGCGCGGAATGTACGAGCATACCAGTAACATCACTAACACAGCATACCTAGACCAGGCTGTTCGATTCTCGCTATGAGTTTCATTTCACTGATTTTCTATAATCCAGAAGACTTTTTTGTACAAAAGAAAGGGAGAATTTGGCATACAAACTGTAAAACTAACAATTTTCAAGCGGGCATCTGGCGATGGCTCCTTAGAGCAAGCATCATTCCATCGAGTTTGCAGAGCATGCGCAAGCTGGTCAGTTTCTGTTTCTTGGGAACGAACATAATCCAGATCGGTACCAGATGGAGTGAAAATTGTTGCATTTTCAACTCTGAAAGTTGCTTTTTTTATCACTACGCAAAAAAAAAAAAAAGAAAACGATGTAAAAATTTGAGGATTCATTATGGCTGACCACAGGCGCTTGCACTTTGCTGACTGAGAGATGTGATTCTAATGCTAGCTTCATGGTCAAAAGTCAAAACTCCCTTCGTATTCGTTCTGCTTGAGGGGTAGAGGCACTCTGAGGTATTTCACTGTAGCAAATGCCAACAAAGTAATCACTGACAAACAAAGCAATCGGTATATATCAGCAACAATGTACCACCGAAACCAATGAACGAATGGCAGAGGAATTGGACGTCTCAATGACGAAGTTGTAGGGCACAGTGCAATCCCCCACTGCGTTATACTCACCGTTTTTTAGTTCTCGAAAAAAATGCAATAAATCATACGGAATAGCTTACAACTGAATAGCTTTTTCGGTTTTTTCACAGAATTTGCTCAATCTGTTCAAGTCATCCTGGAACGCTTTAGCTGCTTCTACAGCGCAATCCACTTCCGATTTTCGATCACGCAGTAAACCTCTGATCTAAAACACTTCAATAATTCTAAAATAAATTCTTCGAAGAAAAAAAAAAGACCACAGAAACAAAAATTTCAGAAATCGTAATATTCGTGCCTTCACAGTAATATTCTTCGTTT